CTCGCAGCCTCCCAGGTGGTGGCAGGTCCAGCTGAGTCCAGGGGGGCGGGCAGGCGGGTCCAGCCGGGCACTGCTCTCCGGGGGCCCCGGCTCCGGGCCCCTGGGCTCCCCTCACCTGTCCACTGGCTGACCACCTGCCGCTCCCAGGGCTCACAGTTCAGATGCCCGGGGCCCGGGACGCCCAGGCCGGGGATCTGGGTGCCAGGCTCTGCCAGACTGAGGACCTGTGGGCAGGCACGGGGCATCCCAGAGAGGCAGGGGGTGGCGCCAGGCCCAGAGAAAGGAAACGGCCGGGACCGCCGCAGGGAGACCCAGGCTGACCCCCCGCTCGGGCCCTGCTCCCGGCTCCATGCCCCAGGAGCTCACACTCCGCCTGCCCCCTCCCCCCCCTCCTCCCTGGCCCCGTGGCCCCAGACCGCAGCCCCCCTGTCCCAGGCCCCTCAGCCCAGGTCGCCCCCGCCCTGCCCTCCCGACCCTCCCCCAGCGCGGGCTCTCGTGGGTTCACGCCGAGGCCTGACCCAGATCCTCGCGTGGGGCCTGGTCTTTCCTGTTCCGTCCGGGCGAGGATTGTGGCTGTCACCGCCGCCGAGACCTGCCCTCGCCGCCGCCCGCTCCCGGGAGGAGGACCCCAGAGGGCCTGGTTCAAGTCCTGGGTCTGCCTCTCGCCGGCTGGTGACCTTGGACAGGACCCTGTATTCCCCGGGCCTCGGTTTCCCCGTCTGTAACCTGGAGCCGGCACTGACCGGTTTGGGGGAAGGGTGTTGGGGAGGTTGTGGGCACCTGGGGGCCAGACCCAGGAGCTGGCATGGTGGGCTGCTCAGTGTCCCATGGGCCTCAGCCTGCTGGGGGCAGGGGCAGCAGCAATGAGAGCCTGCCCCTCAGGATGGGGACGGGGGAGAGCAAGGGGAGGGCAGGAGCCTGGTGAGCTTGGGCAGACGGGAGGGTGTGGGCAGGGGCAGAGGGTACAGCTGGGGACCAGGGGTGCGTGGGGCAGGACCAGGGCGGGGGAGGGGCTCGCTGGCAGGTAGGGCTTGGTGAGGGGCGGGGCTCTGTGAGGGGCGGGGCTTTGGGTGAGCGGGGCTTTGGGGGAGCTGCAGAGGAGGCAGGGGTCAGAAAGACCTCCTAGGCCACCCCAGGAGCAGGCCTCTGCCCCCCCTCCCCCCGGGCCACAGGCCTGCTGGGGGTCAGCCTGGGCAGGGGGCAGTGCTGGAGGCCGGGGTGCTAAGCTGTCTCCCCAACAGGAAGGGGGGCCGGCGGCCGGGCACGCTCACCCCGTGCACATCTGGAATGAGGAAGGAGGGGGCGTCGGAGCCAGCGCACGCCCTTCCTGTCTCCCAGGCCCCTCGGGCAGCAGATGCACCCCCAGAACCGCTGCCGCTCAGGGCAGCAGAGCGGGTGAAGAGCTGAAGGCCCTGAGGTCCCTCCCCCAGGGACAGCCCAGGGCATGGCCCCCGGCAGGGCTGCCTGGGCCCGGGCCCACGTAAATAAATGGGTGAACAGGTGGCAGCGAGCGAGCCCCTTCCCTTCACTCTCACGGGCATCCCCACGCCCTCCCGGCTGCCAGGCAGGGCCAGGGCACACGAACCAGCCCACCCGAGCAGGAGCCCTGTTCCGGGCGCAGAGCAGGGGGCCGAGGCGACGGGCACGGCCCGAGGAAGGCTCGGAGCGGGCGGAGGGCTGGGCGGGGTCTCGGGCCCAGGGCCGGGTGGGCAGAGTGGGCTCTCGGGGGGTGGGGGGGCCCAGGGCCGCGGGGATGTGCCCGCCGCCGGGGAGGCTGGGCCCGGTTGAACTGTGGCCAAGAAATGAGAACAGTCTGGGCACCGGGGCCTGGCCTCGGCTCTTTCCTCATTCCTGGCCTTGTGGGAGTAGTCGGACCCTGGCGTTCCTCCGCGGCCGCCACCTCGGATCTGCTTACCGTCTCACGGGGAACGGGGCCTCCTGCCAAACTCCTCCGCCGGCAGCCCCGACCCTGGGCCCCCGCCCCAGCCCCTGCCCCGCCTCCTGCTAGCGGGGAGACTGAGGCCCATGTCAGGGCGGCTCGGTCAGCACGGGGCCTGTCCACCTGCCCCCCTGCACACTGGAGGGCCGCCCCCTCGGGCGCCCACCTGCAGCGCCTCCCCGGGGCTGGGGCCAGGCTCCGCGGTGCCCGGTGGGCAGAGGGCAGACGGGCTGTTGATCAGAGGTTCCGCCGATGCCAGGCTGCTGGGCCGCGGGCAGTGGCCAAACCGGCCAGGTGGCATGCCTCCCGGCCCTGGGCAGGAATGCCATTCACCCTCCGGGCATGGTTACCTCGGGCGAGGCCGGCCTCAGAGGAGGCTGGTGCTGCCCGGGGCCTCGCTGCCTTCCCATCACCAGAGCGGGAGGCGGGGGGGCACCCCAGGGCACATGAGCCAAAGCCCAGCAGACACGGCTGGACGGGCCCAGGCCAGCTGGAGTCGGGGGAGGGAGACACCGAGGGAAGCAGATGGCGCCAGGGCCACCCGGCTGGGGTTCCCCACCCACGGGCTCCCCATTCTCCCGAGAAGAGCCCGGCCCGCCCCCCGAGTCAGCCCGCTCCAGGCCAGGCCCCCTCCCCTGCAGCCCAGCCCGCCCTGGGAGCCTCGCTCTGTGCAGGCCCCGCCCCCACGGCCTCCTGGGTGCGCGCTGGGTGGGGCGGCCCAGAGCACCTGGAAGGTGTGACTCAGTCCGGCTGGGCCCTGGCCAGGTGCGGAGGGAGCGGGTGGGGACGGCAGGCGGCGCCCGCGAGGGCAGTGTCTGTGCCCCGCGTGTCTGTCCCCACGTGTCTGTGCCCCGCGTGTCTGTCCCCACGTGTCTGCGCCCCATGTGTCTGTCCCCGCGAGTCTGTGCCCCGTGTGTCTGTCCCCGCGTGTCTGTCCCCGCGTATCTGTGCCCGGTGTGTCTGTCCCGCGTGTCTGCGCCCCGCGTGTCTGCGCCCCGTGTGTCTGTCCCCGCGTGTCTGCGCCCCGTGTGTCTGCGCCCCGCGTGTCTGTCCCCGCGTGTCTGCGCCCCGTGTGTCTGTCCCCACGTGTCTGTCCCGAGTGTCTGCGCCCCGTGTGTCTGTCCCCGTGTGTCTGTCCCTGCGTGTCTGTGCCCAGGTCGGCGTGTCACACACGTGTCTTCTCTGATCCCAGCTTTATTGGAGCCGCTGCTCCCAGGAGCGGACACAGCGTCAGAAGCCCCGGCTCTCTCCCGGGCCACACGGACCCTCACCCCCGAGGGCCCACGGACAGCCAGGGAGGCCCGGAGGCCGGGACAGGGCGCACGGCTCCTGGCGGCTCCAGGGCCCGAGAGTCCGTTCAAGCAGGAGGAGCCGGTCTCGGGCAGCCCCATACCCAGTGTAGGTCACAATAACTTAAGACACTATAGACATCTCACTATATCACAACATAAGTTAACGGTGCCCGGCAGAGGGCGGCCGTGGGTCCTGGGGCCCGCGGGGCGGGGCGGGCGGGGTGGGGGGACGTGGCCTGGAGGGTCCCAGGACAGCAGCTAAGGGGTGTCCTGGCACCGTTGGGGGCACGCGAGGTGGACGCCAGGCCCAGACTAATGTCCAGCCCCTGTGGCCGGCCGGCCGCCCGCGGACACGTCTCCACCCGCCCCGAATGACCCTGATTCGGGGTGATGGTGGGCAGTGGAGGGCGCCCCGCAGTCCCCACACCGGGCTTCCCAGCGGTCACCTCTGCGGCTCGGTCCCCCTGGGAGGTGGGAGTGTCGGCAGAGGATACGCCTAAGACGCGGTTTCTCGTCTCTCCCGCCCCCGGGGATCAGAATGAGCCACCCCCCCCCTTCCCGTCTCCCAGGGTCCAGGGTGAGCGACGCAGGGAGGGCCTGCGTGTGCGGGATTGGGGGGGGGGGTCAGGTGGGCGCTGCACAGGGTTGCCTGGCCCCAAGCTTTCCCCACACCGGGCTCCGGGGGAAAGGCCAGGGCGGGCAAGGACACACCGTCAAAGGCGTCTCAGGGCGCAGAGCCCGGAGGCAGCGGGGAGGGCGCAACCGATGTCTCGGGCGTGGGGGCGCCTCACCCAGCCTGGGGTCCCCAGAGCTTGTCCCCTGGGGCCGTAGCCGTGGCCGTGGGTCAGGACACCCAAGCATGGCAGGCACCCCACTCGGGTCCTGGGGCCTTTGTGGCCCCCTCTGTCCAATGAGGCAACGCCCTGAAGACTCCCGGCCCCCCACACCCCGCCCAGCGCTGGCCCGGGGTCCCACGGCTCCGGGTGCGAGGGGCTCTGTAAACTGCGAGGGGCCAGACTGGTGAGGGCTGGGGCCACAGCCCGGGAGGGGCGCAGCCTGGACCTGATGTGGGCCAGTGTGATCGGGTGACGGGGTTTCTAAGATCTTTCTGAGACGGAGCAGAGGCCCCATGCAGGGTGCCCTCCGGGTTCTCTGGGGCCGTGCTGGTCCCCACACCCTGCCCGCTCACCGGGGACCGAGCCCACAGCCGCCTGTCCCGGGCAGAGCCGGGTGGGCTGGGGGAGGAGCGGGGCAGAGGGCGTGTGCTGCTGGGCGCGGGGTTAGGACCACCTGGCCCTGTGCCGAGTCCCCTCTGGTTCTACGGAAACATAAATAACCTGTCCACGTCCGCCCGGCCACGCCAGGGTCCCGCAGCTGATGTGGCTGAGATAGTCTCACAGGGGCCGGCCGGCGTGGCCTGTCCGTGTTCACCCCACCAGGCCGGGCCGGGGACACGCGGAGTCCTGGCGTCTCTGTTCTCCAGGGTCACGTGTGTCCTCGAGGCTTGCTTTCCAGAGAAAAGAAGAGGCATCCCTAGCGCCGTTCTGCCACAGGAAGCACCAGGAACGGCAGGAAGGAGCCACGGGGCGGGGAGAGGATGCTGAGCCCAGGGGTTCCTCCCACGTCTGGAGCCCCACCGTCCACAGCCACTGCCCGGCGTGGCGGGCGGCGTGGCCTGGGCGGCGTGGCGGGCGGCGTGGCCTGGGCGGCGTGGCGGGCGGCGTGGCTGGAGCGGCGTGGCCGGCGTGGCGGGCGGCGTGGCGGCGGCCTCACTTGCAGGTGAAGACCTCGGTGCGCTCGCTGCACGTGTTGCACTTGACGAAGCAGCACCAGTGGAACTTGCAGTTGCACTGCCACACGCGGGTGTACTGGTGCGTGTTGTAGCCGCGGCCGCAGCACATGGTGTCGCAGCCGTCGGCGCCGGGCGAGGTGCGGTTGCACAGCCGGCCCTGCGTGCCCACGCTGCCCGTGGCCGCGTCCTCCTCGCAGTAGTTGGGCGACTTCTCGATGTACACCAGGTCCGTCTCCAGCGGCTTCTGGTAGCTGCGCAGCTGCTTGATGCGCAGGAAGGTGGGCTGCCGCAGCCGGCTGGCGCGCACCGCCTCCACCTGCACGGCCGCGTTGTACTTCTCCTTGAGCAGGTGGCCCACCTCGCGGAACGTGGGCAGCGTGGTCCAGCACGTCTTGGTGGTGCAGGAGCCCGACACGCCGTGGCACTTGCACTCCAGCTTCATGCGCTCCTCCAGGACCTGCGGGCAGAGCGGGCTGAGCGGCCGGGCACCCTCCACCCTCTGCCTGGGGCAGCCTCCGCCCGGGGCACCCCTCCACCCTCCACCCTCCACCCTCCACCCTCTGCCCGGGGCACCCTCCACCCTCCACCCTCTGCCCGGGGCACCTTCCACCCGGGGCACCCTCCACCGGGCACCCTCCGCCCTCCACCCTCTGCCCGGGGCACCCTCCACCCGGGGCACCCTCCACCGGGCACCCTCCACCCTCCACCCTCTGCCCGGGGCACCCTCCGCCCGGGGCACCCTCCGCCCGGGGCACCCTCAGCCCGGGGCACCCCTCTGCCCGGGGCACCCTCCGCCCAGAGCTCCCTCCGCCCGGGGCACCCCTCTGTCCAGGCCCCCAGCCTCCAGCCCTGGCAGAACCAGTCAGGGTGCTGACCGCCCTCCCAGGCGGGGCCGTGAGGACATCGGAGCGGGCAGAGCGGCCACACTGTCTCTCGCAGCCCCGGGGAGCCGGGCGATGGCCGCGGGGACGGAGGCCTGGCTGCCCGGGGGCGTGTGCAGGTCCCCAGCAGCAGGGGGAGCGGGCGGGGGCGGGAGCTGCATCAGTGTGGGTTCCGGCCTGGCTCCCTCCCTGCCCTCCTGCTGGGCCTGGCGTCCGAGGGTCTGTGCCTGCCCACTGTGTGTGGGGAATCCCCGCGCCCCGTTTGCTAGGGGGGGGGGTTAGGGGGTAGGGGGTGGGATGAGCCCGTCAGTGAGGCGAGGCGAGCCGTCTGCTGGTAAGTGTTCCCCCTCGGCTCTGAGCGGCGTGAGGGCCGGTTCCCAGCGCCAGCCCTGACCCCGGCTACACATTTACCCGGATCGAAGGGCCTGCCAGCGCTGATGGAAGATGCGAATCATTAGCCCTGGCTGCGGGGCCATTTGTCAGCTGTCCCCGCGCCTCACTTCCGCTCCAGCTGGAGGACTGGCTGCCCTGCCCCTGGCCAGACCCAGCCCTCACCCAGAACCCCGGCCCTGCCCAGACGCCAGCCCTCACCCGGGACCCCAGCCCTGCCCAGACCCCAGCCCTCACCCGGGACCCAGCCCTCACCCAGGACCCAGCCCTCACCCGGGGCCCCAGCCCTCACCCAGGACCCAGTCCTCACCCAGGTTCCCGGCCCTCACCCGGGGCCCCAGCCCTCACCCGGGGCCCCAGCCCTGCCCGGGACCCAGCCCTCACCCAGGACCCAGCCCTCACCCAGAACCCCGGCCCTGCCCAGACCCCAGCCCTCACCCGGGACCCCAGCCCTGCCCAGACCCCAGCCCTCACCCGGGATCCAGCCCTCACCCAGGACCCAGCCCTCACCCGGGACCCAGCCCTCACCCGGGGCCCCAGCCCTCACCCAGGACCCAGCCCTCACCCGGGACCCAGCCCTCACCCGGGACCCAGTCCTCACCCAGGTTCCCGGCCCTCACCCGGGGCCCCAGCCCTCACCCGGGGCCCCAGCCCTGCCCGGGACCCAGCCCTCACCCAGGACCCAGCCCTCACCCAGAACCCCGGCCCTGCCCAGACCCCAGCCCTCACCCGGGATCCAGCCCTTACCTGGGACCCAGCCTTGGCCCAGACCCCAGCCCTGCCCGGGACCCCAGCCCTCACCCAGGACCCAGCCCTCACCCAGGACCCAGCCCTCACCCGGGACCCAGCCCTCACCCAGGTTCCCGGCCCTCACCCGGGACCCAGCCCTCACCCGGGACCCAGCCCTCACCCGTGACCCCAGCCCTGCCCGGGACCCAGCCCTCACCCGGGACCCCAGTCCAGCCCGGGACCCCAGCCCTCACCCGGGACCCAGCCCTCACCCGGGACCCAGCCCTTACCCGGGACCCAGCCCTCACCCGGGACCCAGCCCTCACCCGGGACCCAGCCCTTACCCGGGACCCAGCCCTCACCCGGGACCCAGCCCTCACCCGGGACCCAGCCCTTACCCGGGACCCAGCCCTCACCCGGGACCCGGCCCTCACCCGGGACCCGGCCCTCACCCGGGACCCGGCCCTCACCCGGGACCCAGCCCTCACCCGGGACCCGGCCCTCACCCGGGACCCGGCCCTCACCCAGGTTCCCGGCCCTCACCCCGGGACCCAGCCCTCACCCGGGACCCAGCCCTCACCCGGGACCCAGCCCTTACCCGGGACCCAGCCCTCACCCGGGACCCGGCCCTCACCCAGGTTCCCGGCCCTCACCCCGGGACCCAGCCCTCACCCAGGTTCCCAGCCCTCACCCGGGACCCAGCCCTCACCCGGGACCCAGCCCTCACCCGGGACCTCGGCCCTGCCCAGAGGAGGCGGCCACGGGGAGGGCAGGAATGCAAAGGGGATAGAGGGGCTGCCCACAGAGCCGGCCGCTGCCCCATCTCCCTTCCTGCCCTGGTGGCCCGGGCTCATGGCCCAGTGTGGGCAACAGAGGAAACTGACACACAGGCACCGAGTGCAGGGCTTGGCCTCCGCCTGCCCGGGCCAGGGTGCCGGCCGGGGGCTTCCTGGAGGCGGCGAACACCACTGCGCGTCCGTGGATCATTAGGTGGGGGAGGGGCATGGGGAGGCGCAGCGGGGGAGCATTTGGCCCACAGCCTGAGTGTGCGGCGGCTGAGGCCGGCCGCCTGGGGCGGGGGGCGGGCCCCCTGCTGCTGCGGGGACGGCACGCTGGGGCGGATCAGGCTGGGCCGGCAGGGACAGGGCGCAGGCCGGTGTGAGGGTCTGGGTCCAGGGTGGGCCCTGGTGGGACCCCTTCCCAGGGAGAAGCCCTGCTGTCCCTCCCCCCACGTCTCCTCTCCTGCTCCCTCCTCGCCCGCCCTCTCCACGCTCATGTCTGTGCTCCCCTCTCCTCAAAGCCCTTCTTCCATCGCTGGCCCTGCCCTGGCCACTGCCCCACGGCTGGGCACCCACACCCCAGGCTCCTGTCCCGGATTCCTCCTCCTCGTCCGTGACGGCCAGAGACCTGGCCGGGCGCCCACGCTGGAGGGGTTTTGGGCGAGGGCTGGGTCCTGGGTGAGGGCCGGGGTCCTGGGTGAGGGCTGGGGTCCCGGGCGGGGGCTGGGTCCCGGGCGAGGGCTGGGTCCTGGGTGGGGGCTGGGAACCTGGGCCAGGACCGGGGTCCCGGGTGAGGGCCGGGGTCTGGGCAGGGCTGGGTCCTGGGTGAGGGCCGGGGTCTGGGCAGGGCTGGATCCTGGGTGAGGGCTGGGTCCCGGGTGAGGGCCGGGAACCTGGGTGAGGGCCGGGGTCCCGGGCGAGGGCCGGGGTCCCGGGCGAGGGCTGGGGTCCTGGGCCAGGACCGGGGTCCCAGGCGAGGGCTGGGTCCCGGGCGAGGGCTGGGTCCCGGGCGAGGGCTGGGGTCCCAGATGAGTGCCGGGTCCCGGATGAGGGCCGGGGTCCCGGGCAAGGGCCGGGTCTGGGCAGGGCTGGGTCCTGGGTGAGGGCCGGGGTCCCGGGTGAGGGTCGGGGTCTGGGCAGGGCTGGGTCCCGGGTGAGGGCTGGGGTTTGGGCAGGGCTGGGTCCCGGGTGAGGGCTGGGGTTTGGGCAGGGCTGGGTCCCGGGTGAGGGCCGGGGTCCCGGGCGAGGGCCGGGGTTCTGGGTGAGGGCTGGGTCCCGGGTGAGCACTGGGTTCTGGGTTGGGGCTGGGGTCCCGGGTGAGGGCCGGGGTCCCGGGCGAGGGCTGGGTCCCGGGTGAGGGCCGGGGTCCCGGGCGAGAGCTGGGTCCCGGGTGAGGGCTGGGTTCTGGGTTTGGGCCGGGGTCCCGGGTGAGGGCCGGGGTCCCGGGTGAGGGCCGTGGTCCTGGGTGGGGGCTGGGATTCCAGCCGGCTGGTCCTAGCTTAGCCGCCATCTGAGTGTCCAGTTTGGCTGAATAGCTGCCCGTCCCCCCGTGCCACCTGCCCTAACCCCTTCCCTCCGTCCCATCTTCCTGCGGCATCAGACCACAACCCCCCTCCTCACCCCCCCCCCCACGGGACCCTGTGAGCGGGACCGGGGCAGATGGAGCCGATTGGCCGCTGTTTGCAGAGCGAGGGGCCGCATCCTCGCTTGGCTGGTCCCCACGCCCGGCCTGCTGGGAAGTGATCACAGGAGGGAAGAATGTGCCCTCGAGATAAGAGCGACAGCGGAGGTGGCGCCAGCCCGCGGCCGAGACCACCCGGGCGGGTGCGGAGTGGCCGCTGCACCTGGAGGGCCAGGCGGGTGGAGAGATGGGGCTCCGGAAAGAGCTGACCTGGAGGTTCCTCCTGGAATAAGGGCGCCCCCCCTCTGGGGACAGAGTTCAGGAATGCCGGGTTAGGGAGAGGGGGGGCAGGTCTCACGCTCTGCCTGTCTGCCCCTGGCCCACGGGTGGGGGGACCACGTGCCAGCCGAGGGCGGGCTGCAGAGTGCCCCCCTCAAACACACACCCACTCGGACCTCAGATTGAGATCTTACTTGAAAACTCAGTTACATCTTATTTGCAACTGTAACTGAGGTGAGACCCAAGACCATTCTGGACAGGGCGGGCCCTGTGTCTGAGGACACGGGGTGGGGGGCGGGCACATGCAGACAAAGGCAGAGCCTGGATGCTGGGGCCACGAGCCAGGAGCACCGGGCGCCCCCAGGGCTGGAGCCCTCTGAGGGGGCGCCCCGCCCACTCCTGACAATCTCTCCTCCTCAGCTCACAGCTTCACCCCAGTGCCCCCCACATGCTGGCCCTCCTCCTTCTGCATCTCCAGCCCCCTAGCTCTCCTACCCCCATCTGACTCCTCCCCCCAACCGGGCCCCCTCCCGCTGGCCTCTTCCTCGATGCCTCTCGCCACCAGTCAGTCTCTGAGCGCCCGAAGTCCCCGCCAGGCCGGCCGTGGGTTCACATGGGCCTCAGAACCGAACCAGCCACGACCCTGGCCCCCGAGCTGCTCGGCTCCCCGCTCCCTCAAGCGCTGGCACCTGTGCCCAAGGGGCCGCCATCGGCCTGGCCTGCTGGGCCGCCCAAACCCCTCGGCTGGGCTTGTGCTGTGCTGGTCCCTCCTCGGGCTCCCCGTCTCCGCCGCTCACTCTGCCACCTCCCCAGGGAGCAGCGGCAGGGCCCAGGGGACAGTGAGACCCTCTTCCCAGGGGTGTGGGGGGCCCCCACTCCCGGCCCGGCCGCTGCAGGCTCGGGGGGTGGTCCATGGCGGGCCCGGCTATGCCTCCCCCCGGCTCCCAATGCCTCCCTCGGCCCCTGGGCACGGGTCTCCACCCGCCTGTGCGCAGAGCAGCGGTTTTCACGCCCGCATCGCAGGCGTGTGTCAAACGTGCGCAGCACGGCAGCCACGTGGTGTGGAGGGGTGAAAACTGTGTCCATGTGACACGGGGATCAGCACAACCAGGACACGTGTTTCCCGTGTGCGAGGAGCTCCTGTGCTCGCCCACTGCCTGTCTGAGCTCCTGAGGCAGACCGCGTCCCTCCCCTCCTTTCACTATCCATCTGACCAAACTGCAACGACCTCAGCAGAAAGCCAAACCCTCGGCCTGGGTTCAAGGCCTGCTCTGGCCGCCAGCTCGCCCGCCCTTCCTGCTGCGGCCGCTGGAGTGGGTGGCAGCCTCGCCCCTCCGGCACACCCCCCACCCTCCGGGGCCGCCTCCTGCTCTGCATCTCCGCTCTGCTGTGTCCTTCAGGCTCCCGGCCGCCTCCAGGGAGCGTCTGCTCGCCTCCCGCTGGCCCCAAGGCTCTCGGGGACCCCGGGTGTGGCCTCTGCTCCCTCAGGTGCCCGTCGGAGCGGGGGCAGCTCCCGGCCAGGGTCACGTGGGACTCTCCCCGTCCGCGTGTCCACCTGGCCCTGGCACAGAGGAGGGGCACCGAGCGCTGGCGGAGTGAGTGAATGAGCCAGCGGCAGCGGCCTCCGGGGTGGTCCCTGGGGGCCTTTCTGCTCCCTGCCCGGAAAGGCGAGCCTGCCCGCGCCTGAGCGCCCCTCGGCCTGGCGCCTGGTGCGGCGTTCTGCTCCGCTGCCTGCCCTATCTCTGGCCATCTTGCCGCCACGGTGGCCGCTCCTCCCGGCCCAGTATCTGGGGCCCGCATCTCCCCGAGGCAGGACTGGGCCCGTGCTGACCTCTTCCCCAGTGTGTCCCTCCCGAATGTCCTCCATTATCCTCCCCCAGGCTGCGTCCACCCTGTCCACAGTGCCGCCCCCCCCCCCGGCGTGGGCCCACCCTCCCGCCCGCTCCCCCTGAGGGAACACCCCTTCCGCAGGCCTGCCTCCTCCAGAGCCTCTCCTGTATCGGTAAGCCGGCGTGGGCCCCTGGGACCAGCCAGGGGGCTGCCCCACCCCGGTCCCCAGGCAGGCCCAGCTCCCGTTCTGCCTGCACACGGGGTCGCTGTCTCCTCCTCCTCCCAGTGGTTCCTGCCGGGAGGAGGCGCAGGCACATCCCTCCACTCCCAGCCTCAGGGTTCACACCTGGGGAATGGGTACAGCGGGGGCCTCTCAGAGCTGCTGGGAGGGGGGAGGGACTGTTCTGCCCCGCACCGCCCACACCGCACAGCGCACCCCGCACCCCAGGCCCAGGCTCCCAGCTCACACCTCAGGAGGGGCGCCCAGCGCGGGGAGGTCAAGGCCGTGACCTAACCGCCCGCCCCCCGCATAGCCCCGCCCCCGCCGCGGCCACGCCCATACAACCCCGCCCCTCCCGTAGCCCCGCCCTTCGCCGCCCCTCCGCCTATCTTGCGGCCCGCCCCTCCCATAGCCCCGCCCCTGTAGCCCCGCCCCTCAATTAACCCCGCCTCCGGTCGTCCCGCACCGCCCACCTTGCGACCCGCCCCTCCCTTAGCCCCGCCCCTCCCGTAGCCCCACCCTCCGTTAGCCCCGCCTACCTTGCGGCTCGCCCCTCCCATAGCCCCGCCTACCTTGCGGCCCGCCCCTCCCGTAGCCCCACCCTCCGTTAGCCCCGCCTACCTTGCGGTCCGTCCCTCCCGTAGCCCCGCCCCTCCGTTAGCCCCGCCTACCTTGCGGCCCGCCCCACCCTCCGTTAGCCCCGCCTACCTTGCGACCCGCCCCTCACTTAGCCCCGCCCCTACCGTAGCCCCGCCCTCCGTTAGCCCCGCCTACCTTGCGGCCCGCCTCGTTGTTGTGCAGGTTCATGAGGCGCCGCGCGTTCTTCTTGATCTCGCGCGCGTCCACGAAGCGGCGGGAGAAGTCGATGCCGTAGCGCACGTCGGCCGAGCAGCCGCCCCACTTCCAGCCCTCGGCCTGGTTGTAGAAGCCCTGCTTCTCGCGGTCGCAGCCGCAGTTGCTCAGGTTGCCCTGGCTGCAGGCGGCCGTGACGGCGTGCGCCACGCCGGCCGCCGTGATGGCGTAGGTGAAGGCGGCCTCCCGGCTCCCTGCGGGTGGGGTGGGGGCACACACGTGAGGCCGGGGCCCCGGGGCCCAGGCGCCCTCCTCCCGGAGCCCCTGACCCAGCGGGCTGCAGATCCCCCGGCGTAGGCGCCCCTGGGACAGGCGCGCCCGGCCTCTGTCTCCCCTCTTCCCCCCCAGGGACCATCCCGGCTGCAGGCCCCGCGGGCCCCAGCAGGACCCACAGAGCCCAGAGCTTCGTGGCCTCTGCCGGCCTATCTCTGCGTGACCACCAGTCACCTGTCCGCAGGCCTCCTGTTCCCTTCTACACCCCGACCGGCCTGCCCCGGGGGCCTGAACCCAGCCCCGAGGATGTGGGTGCGGGCCTCCCTGCCTCCCGCCCCCCAGCCACCGCCTGGTGGGCCCAGGGGGCAGGCCTGGCACCTCCGCCCACACCTCCCTCTGCAGCTCTCCTCCCCCTGAGCTGGGCAGGAGCCCGGCCCCGACCCCAGTCTGCACCCGCCCTCCAAGCCCGTGCCCACCCCGGCCTCCACCCACCAAAACGACGCCCCTTCCAGCTGCTCACGTGCCCTGGGGCTACCTGGTCTTTTGGTGGAATCCCTTCTCCTTCCTGCCCAGATCCTGCCCTTCCTACCCCGTCCCCATGCCGCCTCCGGGCAGCCCTCCAGGGCACCGCCAGATGAGCCCTGCTGCCGGCGCCTCCACGGCAGCTGACCTCGCGCTCTCCACGCTGTCCGCCTCAGCCCCATGGCGCGGCTTCCTGGCGACACGGGTCCGAGGCCCCGGAGGAACGGGTCCAGCTCCAGCTCCTTATTCTCCACGGCCCCGGGGCAGGCCCTGTGCCCCCCATCCTGCCCGTCTCTCGGCCCCCGTCCCCGTGCCCATGACCAGAGGCCCCTGTGGGCCCAGCCGGCGCTGCAGGCACAGGGCTCGGCAGTGCCGCGGGGACCGAAGCCCCACTCCGGGGGACGAGCCGGAGTCCACAGGAGGAACAGCTGGGACCCGCCACCCTGCCGTCCATGAGCCCGGACCTGTATCCCCGGCCGCTGTCCCTGCTGCCAGGGCTGGGTGACCCTCCAGGTCAGGTCAGGCCCGTCCCACAAGCATCCACAAGCGCTGACTGTATGCCTGCCTGTGCTTGGCGCTCACTGTGTGCTCGGGTCCACCTCTTCACCGCTATCCGCCTGGGACTCACTCAGAGGGTCCGGTGCTCCTGGGGGCTCACTCAGGGGTCCCCGTGCTCCTGGGGGCTCACTCAGGGGGTCCCCGTGCCCCTGGGGGCTCACTCAGGGGGTCCCCGTGCTCCTGGGGACTCACTCAGAGGGTCCCTGTGCTCCTGGGGGCTCACTCAGAGGGTCCCCGTGCTCCTGGGGGCTCACTCAGAGGGTCCCCGTGCTCCTGGGGGCTCACTCAGAGGGTCCCCGTGCTCCTGGGGGCTCACCCTGGTGAAGGCCTTGCTCCCTGGGCGCTTGCCCCACAGCCGCCTCTGGGACCAGCTGACCATAGGGCCCTGCTCCTGGCTCCTTAACCAGCCTCCCTGCAGCCCGGGGCGTGGCCTGAGCTGCCAGTCCTGAGCCATCAAGGCCGGCTGACCAGGGGTTCCCAGACACAGGGACGGGACCATGGGGGTCGACCTCCCGGCTCTAAATCAGGCCCCTGCGCTCGGAAGGGCAGCCCACTGGCTGTGAAACCCTCGGTGTGCTGCCCAAGCCCAGCACAGCCTGCTGACGAGGTCGCAGGACACACGGGCAGGAGCGGTCCGCCGGGCGGGGGACCGGGGAAGGAGGTGACTGTGGGCTCAGTAATAAGGGGCCACAGGCAGGTGGCATGGCACCTCAAAGGACGCCTGGCCCTCCTCGGGGGGGGGTGGAGTCTGGGGAGGCTTCCCGGAGGAGGTGACCCCTTAAAGTTTAACAAGACGCACGTGTTGCCTTAACCAGTGGCTCAGTGGATGGAGCATCATCCTGCGGACTCAAGGGTCCCGGGTTCGATTCCGGGCAAGGCCATGTACCTTGGTTGCGGGCACATCCCCAGTAGGGAGTGCACAGGAGGCAGCTGATCAATGTTTCTCTCTCATGGATGTTTCTAACTATCCCTCTCCCTTCCTCTCTGTAAAACATCAATAAAGTATGTATATATATATTAAAAAGGAAGAAGAAGAAGCGTGTGTTAACTCCCTGTGAGCGTGTGTGGCATCTGAGTGTGTGTAGACATGTATGGTGTGTGCACGCGTGGTGCGTGGGTGTGTGTGCACATTCCTGCCCCGGCAGGAGCCAGGCGCAGAGGGTGGCAGCTTGGTGCTGAGGCCGGGGAGGGTGAGGTCGGAGGAACAGGAAGGAGAGGAGGAGGATGGGGGCCCTGTGCGGGGCTGGGGTGGACGCGTTGCAGCGGGATGAGAGCTCACAGCCACACGAGGGGGGCGGCCCGGAACTGGTGGAGAGGTCGGCAGAGCCGTGGGGCCAGGCGGCCGCTCTCAGCAGCTGCCCCGCATCCCAGCATCCTCTAGCCAGTGGCTCCCAGCCTCCCTGGTGCCACGGCCCTTTAACACAGCTCCTCGTGTGGTGACCCCACCATAACGTTATGTTCGTTGCTACTTCATAACCGTGATTTTGCTGCTCTTATGAATCTAACTAAACATCTGTGCTTTCCGAAGGTCTCGGGCGACCCTGCTAGCGATTCCCAACCTGCAGGTGCAGCCACAAGGGGAGGGGTCGCTACGTTCGGACAGCCTGGATTTGGGGGGGGGTGGGAGCAGCCAGCCAGCAGGTGCGCGCTGGGTGCGGGCAGAGAAATCACAGACAATTGTGCAATCCTGCCGGGAGGCCGGCCGGGAGGGAAAGTCCTGCCCGAGCAGGAGGCGGGTCTGGGCCCGGCCTGACCCTCTTCTCCTCTCCACCCCCCCCCCCCGCCGCCCCCAGGAGCCCACGGGACTCCTCCTGCGCCCCGCAGGCTGCTGACTGTGCCTGTGGAGGGCGTGGCGGGAGCTCCCCAACCTTCGCCCGGTGCGCTCCCACCTGGCCAAGCCCAGGCCCGGCTCAGACTCGGTTACTCATCAGTTACTCACCGCGCTGCCACTCCCGCTAATTCCTTTTTTATTTGGTTTTAATGAGCCAAACCCTCTTGTCTCACCATGGAGACGGGGAGGAGGGGGCAGGAGGGAGCCCTCGTTAGGGGAGAACCAGGAGGCTGGCCCCAGGTCCTGGATCCATGCTTCCGCACGCTGTACACGCATCCTGCTTAACTGTCACGGCGGCCCGGACAGGCCTGGGCACTGGCTCGGGTCCTCGGCGCTCGCCGGGTCAGTGTGCCCAGCGTGGGGCTGGGAGGGTCCCTCCCAGATCACTCCCGGCCGCCCGGCCAGGCCCCAGGTTGCTGCCCCAGGGGAGTGGGCACGAGGGCTTAGGAAGCCCCTCAAATCCTGGGCCTTGCTCCGCAGCTATCTGGCCCCTGGCCTCTGAGATGACCCGAGCCCTGACGGCCTGACTCCACAGGACTCCGCCCACCATGGGCAACTGGCCCGTCTGCAGGCGGGTCGGTGGCCGCCAGGGTGCACCGCTCTTGCCCAATGGACCATCCAGCTGGGCCCTGCCACGGCCCTGGGGGCACCGGCCCTGGCCCTGCCTGGGGTGCCTACCACTGCCCACAGGCTGGCCAGGCTCGGCACACCTGGCCGGCCCCTCTCCTGGCAGCCCCGTTGCTCAGGGGCTCAGGGTGGTGGGCATCTGACCCTTTGGTGCACCCCAACTCAATGTTTCCTGGACCCCAAACACAAGCAGGGGTACGGGAAACATTGTGGCTCTGAGCGAGCGCGCCGGCATGTGCTCCGTGTGCCGGCCCGGCCGTGGCCACTGTTCCGCTCACCCTGCCCCCGTCGAGCTGCGCTGCCCTTGTTTAAAAAGAGAAAAGAAAACTGGCCGAAACCGGTCTGGCTCAGCGGATAGAGCGTCGGCCTGCGGACTGAAAGGTCCCGGGTTCAATTCCGGTCAGGGGCATGAACCTTGGTTGCAGGCACATCCCCAGTGTGTGTGTGTGGGGGGGGGGGGGGGGGGTGTGCAGGAGGCAGCTGATCGATTTCTCTCTCATTGATGTTTCTAACTCCCTCTCTCTCTCTCTTCCTCTCTGTAAAAAAATGAATAAAATATATTTTTTAAAAACTGGCTCTTCTATAACTCAGCCACATAAAGCACCTAACCAGTTAAAACCAGGAAGAGGACCCGACAGCCTTTCTCCAAACGAGAGGTGCAACAGCAGGGAGCCGTGACCAGGTGCTCAGCGCCACAGCCCTCAGGGAAGCACCATGAAAACCCCCACCCGGCCGGCGGGCTCAGCGGCTGAGCATCGACCTCGGAGCAGGAGGCCAGGGTTCGATTCCTCGTCAGGGCACAGGCCTGGGTTGCAGGCTCCACCCCAGAGTGAGGCGTGCAGGAGGCAGCCGATCCAGGAGTCTCCCACCATGGATGTTTCCCTCTCCCTTCCTCTCTGAAGTCAATACAAATACATACGTATTTCAAAACCGCCGAGAGAGAGCCCGCACCCCTGATGCGTGGCTGAGACAGACAGACAGCGGCGGCACAGAGGTGGCGGCTCGGACCCCGCACGCTGCCGGCAGCCACGCTGCAGCCGCTCAGGCGTCCGCCGGTGCTGAGCATCGTTCCCGAAGGACCCAGGCCCCCTCCTTCGTACCGACTCCAGAGGAAGGACACACTGTCCACACAACCAGAGCCCGGGTGTGGTCATCCCCAACGGCCACAGCAGCAGGAGGGACAGAGAAGCTGGGCCCGTCCGCCCCGCGGACACTGCCCAGCCGCGAGGCAGAGGAGCTGCGCCCGGCGGCCTGGACACAGAGCTGCCGGCCACGGCCACGTGTGCGTGAATCCATCCCACGGCATACAGACAGCAGGGGACGTGGCCAGGGGCTCGGGGTGCAGAGCGGCTTTTGAACGAGATGAAAAGATCCCGACCTGGACTGTGGTGCCAGCGGCACACCGACCACGCCATGCCACGGCACGCACACGGCAAACCGGTG